GCTTTTACACAACCCACCAGAGAGTCATAGTGGTATATCTGCAAGGCACAACCCTCTTGTGGGTCGTTTTCCAATTTCTTTTCTATGAGGATTATTTGGAGCGGGATATTATGATTGATTACTTATGAGATCATGGTACACCATCACTACATTGTTTTCCAAAAATATTAAAATTTTTTTTTTTTGTGTTTTATTTTGCTTTCTTTTTGGAATTTCTACTGTTGTTTATTTTTGTGGGAGTGGGGGGACATTTTTTTCTTATTTTTACATACAGAGCTGTATCATGCATTCGTGTGGAACCCTGGGTTGTAAAATGAACTCTGGTACCAAACAACACACTAGTGGGTCATGCATAATAAATACTACTTATGGTATCGTTGCCACATATATGAAACAATGTTAAAACAAAGTCTCTTGTACAAAAATTAATTAAGATATAGTGTTGGGACTCTGTAACAACAATGAGGCTTTGGAACCAATGTATTAAAAAAAAATTTTTACAGGGAAACAGCAAAGTTTCTTTATTGACAAAATATGATTTTTTTTCAATTTGGCACTTTCAAGGATACTTTAATGTTCTCTTTCTAAATGGTGGAAAGTGGGGAAGGATGGGTAGTCTTGGTTTTGCTCAATCTTACTGAATTCTGTCTAATTAAATCTGGGTTTGGTTCTCCTTGGATCTACTCAGGAGTTCACTTACTACTTTGGACATGATTTTTCAATGCATTTTGTTTTTAATTTTCTTAACTTTTCAATCCATCTTCCTGCTAATTTCAACATTTATCATCCAGTTAGTAGACTCTTTCCTCTTCATTCCTCTTTTTGTTTGATCAACCCCTGGAGATTTCTGAGGGGAGTGTGACTTTAGATTGTTCCTATGAATTTCATTGCTTATTGTTCATTTAATGATTCCTGATGAAAGCAAATCATCCTGCAACTCTTAACGAGTAACCATTGAATTTTGTTTAATTTGACACATCAAATTTCCTCAAAGATCATGAAGAAATCTTCTGCAGAGCATCTGTTCTTCTTTGGTTTTCAACAGTTTTGAGCTTTTTATACCTTGCAATGAACGAACTAATGATAACAAATGGAATATTCAGGTTGTCTGAGATTGTCCTGTAACTTTTACTTTCTTTCCAGAACTTAACAATCAATTCTGTTGGCAAATTTGTCAGTTATTTACCTCTTGTCATGATGATAACCTTCTTGCATGAATATCAGTTACAAAATGTTTGTATTTTTAGGCTAAAAATAACTACTGATAGCATTGTTGGAACATTCTAGAATATTCCACTTGAATAATCTAGAGTATTAAAGCAATTTAACATTTTTAAAATCTGAAATTTGCATTTTACAAATACTTTTTTCACCCATTAACATGGATAAATGAGATTTATTTCTATTAGATCAAAATTTTTTTCTGTTTTCTATGCATATTTACTTATGTGTATGTGTACAGTTAATTATATGAGAAGTATGTTTATTCATTAATTGGAAATATAATAAATTAAAAATTTGTATGTGTACGAATATTTGTTTCCCCCCACTATATATATATATATATATATATATAAAGAAATATAGTCTTAAGGTGTGCTATATTTATGGGATAAAGTGCTCAATATCGAAGATAGAGCATGTGTAAATATAAAAGTGAACATTCAAGCCAACACTCAGAGGCGACAGTCTGTTTCATGCTAGATGCAATCATCAGGCCATTTATATATATAACCTAGTTTTTGACATGTACATTATACAAATGTTTTAAAATAATTTAATTTTTCTGCATTTTGCTGTTCATTTTACAAATTCTCTAACCATTTGCTTATCTCTATTCTAGGAGACACAATCCTGATTGGCAAAACACATTTATTCAGGTTCAATAACCCTGCAGAAGCAGCACGGTTAAGAGAATTTAGAAAGGTTTGTCAGTTGCGGTATTTTTTTTTTTTAAATCTTTTTTTTTTTTTTTTTTAAATTATTGATCTCTGTAGAATAATGAAAAAATAAATCCTATAATTCTAACTTTATAGAACAAATACAGAATTGAAAATTTCAAACTTCTTAATCTTAAAGGTTCAAGAAATTGTATTTATCAAAGTGAAAAAAGATTTAGTTAATTTTAAGTCATGAAACATTTTATTACTGTTAAAAATAGAAAGATTGTTTTAAAAAATATATATTGTTATCTTGAAAAGAATTTAGTAAAGAGAAATTATCTCTCGGTTAATGCATAATTAGTATACATTATTAATAGATATTTGCAGAGCTTGTGCAAGGGTCTTGTGACCACCACCACTACCTATATATGATATGCCCCCACCCCAATCTATGATACGGGCTCCCCACTCTAATACATCCCAATTTTCATGAGGTAGTATTCATATAAAACATAAATTTTTATTGCAACATAAGTATGTACAATAATGGATCATATGCCATATAGGGTAACAATTCAACTTGAAAAATTGAAAATAAATACAGTATATCTAAGTATAAATTAAAAAAGAATAAGATGCAAGAGGCTACTGCAAGTGAAAGAGAATGAATAGACTTTAGGAGGAATTGGAAACCCAATCCGAAACAAGGAACAAGGGATAAACCACTACTCCTGTTCAAAAGACTGAGTAGGAGTGTGAACCAGATGATAGGCGAACATATTTACTCCTATAAAAAAACATAGTGTATAAAATTTCATAGTTCAAGCTGAGATGTTAGAAGTATAGAGTATAAGTAGGCTTTAGAAGGAACCAGAAACCCAATCCTAAACAGGAAACAAGTGATAAATCTCTATTCCTGCTTCAAAGACCAGGAAGGAATTTGAACCAGATGATAGGCAAACCTATCTAATCCTAACAAGTTTGTGTGAATAGATGACAGAATAAGCATAGCAAGAGATGGTAAAGAGTCAAACATTGCTTAGAGCTACAAGGGATAGGAAGTTATGGAGAGCTATGATCACCTCCCTGTCCTGACATGACATATAAAGGAAGAATAAAGGTTGAAATAAATTTTATCCAAATCTTTTCTTTAATGACACTTTCTCTTGCTTTTACTTTTAACAAACGTAAAATTTGAATAAATATCAAAATACAATTGTCACAGTTTGAATTACTATTCATAAACTAGCATATAAATGTATTAATTATCTTTGGAATTTCAGAGTGTTGCCAAAAATGAAACAGAAAATGGATCTCCTCTGGGTAGTATGGATTCTGTGGCTGCTTCTGAAAGTGGTTCCTCTTCCCAGAATTGTACATCACCTGCTCCTTTGATGACTAGCAGGTGAGCTTTCAGAACAGATTTTCTATTTGTATGACATGTTTTTTTTAAATCTAAATTTTTAAAATCTGATGTTAAACATGTAATTTTTGTCTTTGAGACAAAGCATATATTTGAGTACATTTAGGCAATAATAGCATTAAATAGCAGAATACATATGATTTCTATTCACTGCTTAACTCACTACTCATCAGTGAGGGAGAAAGTGATTGATTGAGTGATTGAGAGAGAGAGAGAGAATTCCAATTTCAGGCAGTTGTAAGATAATGTGTTCTCTACAAGGCAAAATTCTCACCCAAAAATTTTGAAGGAAAAAATTTCTTTTACTGGTAATCCCATAGTTGATGATTCATTAATACATGGTTGAATGAAAAGACACTCAAATATGCCACATCTTTCCTCATCTTTTTATTTTTTTGTGAACATGATACTCAATGGTAATAGTCAGTTGATCCTATACCTTTTATCTGTTATTCCTTGTTGAATCTTCAGAACTCCAAAGTATCAAATCCTTATACATGGTGCGATGGATAAATTGTCATCTAAATGATGCAAAAATGAAAATAACACCGACATCTCATTTTAACAGATATATTTACCAAAATTACACAAAAATATCTTGAAATACAAAAGAGTAAATTTATTCAATAAATTCGCCATTGGCTTCAGCAACAGCCTCCAGACGATTTTGGAATCTCCTGCAACTCTCTTAGATGGTCTCCTTGTTTAAGTTGGTGAATGCTGCCATAATCTTTGCCCTCAGTTCATCTTTGGTATTAAAAGGAGTTTTGTTGGTCTCTTACTCAAATGACCCCCACACATTATAATCAAGGGAGTTGCAATTTGGGGAGTTAGGTGGCCAGATGTAAGGTGGTTACAGAAACTGTCTGAAGCCATGACTGGGTTCTCTAGCATGTGTGGCATGGTGCAGAGTCCTGTTTTTAGACTTGGGATCTTTCAGCAGCCACTCTCTTGATCCAGGGCAGCACTACTTCCTTAAGGCACTTTATGTAGGCCTCCGTGTTGAGTCTGAGGCCTTGCAGGAAGATGAATGGGGGCATAATGTCACCATCACCTGTGATCACTCTAAACATCATGTTGACTGGATATATCATCCAATTCTTTCTGAATCCTCTGCACTGTCCTCAAAACACTGTGAAATGCTCATATTGGTGCTTGCTGCACAAATGCCAATCAGTAAAGCATGTCGTTTCCAAAATCCTAGCAGAGTGAATTGCATCATTGTGCACTTTTTTTCACAGACTGTGCCCAACTGACCCTACAATGCTGTGCAGTCAATAAAATCAAAAATAAACAACATGCATGTGTGAAATTAGAAATATAAAATGGTGTTGCACCATGCACCCATCGCACCATGTATATTTTATATATTGTATTTCAATAATGTCATGAGCTTTCAATATAATAGAAAATGAATATAATAATTATAATAATAAAATATGTTAAGTAAAAAATAAAATAAAATATAATAATTGTTCATAATAATATAAAATGAATATAAAATGGCGTCAATTTACCCATCGCACCCTGTATATTTTATATATTGTATTTCAATACTATTTCATGTGCTTTCAATATAATAGAAAGCTGCATTTGCACAATGTAAATTTTGTTGTATAATTTTTATCAGAAATTACAATACAAAAACTAGTCAGCTTTAGAGATTATAACAATGTTTGTCTTGCGTTAGGCTTATGGCAATATCACATTGAAACACCAGTTCTCGTATGATCACTAAAATTAAGCAACGTTGAGCTTAGTCAGTACCTAGATAGGCGACTGCTTGGGAATATCGGGTGCTGTAATCTTAGATAGGCTGGTGGTGTAATGGAAATTGAAGAGCTGAGTTTCAATTCCAATTGGGTTCATTAAATTGACTTATGAACTACCCTTGGGAAAGGTATGAATTCACCTGTTCTCCTCCCAGCGTTAATTAGTGGATCTTGTATCAGTAAATTATTAATTCTAAAGAATTTTTACAATCTAAAAATATCTTCAAATAAACTTTGACAGGTTGATAAGCCATAAAAAAACGAATCAAATTGTCTAGTGATAAATGTGATTTTAATGTAATAATTAAAATACAATTATATACAATTTAAGATCCTACAATATCGCTATAGCAAAGAAAACGGCGACTTACCTCGTCAAACCAAGCGACAGCGTGTCGCATGTAACTTACGATGGAAAATGTGGCGATAAAGAAAATTACTTACCAAACAAAAGGGCATGTATTCCGCATGACATGCTGAAGACGAAATATTTAAATTAAAAAACAAGTCTGTTGCAGGTGTCACTGTAAAAGTATTTTGACATGCAAAAATTGGGTGTCCTCTCTCAGCCGTCGACGAATGGAAAAAATGCTTGACCGATAAAAGCAGTTGGTGTTCTCGAATCGGGGAAGTTGATGTATTTTGGCTACCATGTTCGTTGGAGAGTGAGTTATATTTCTGACTGGTTGCATGAATTGTGATTTGTGATATAGTACCTGTGAATCAAGTTTGCAGCATTTCTTTCTGCCCCTTATATTTGAGTCTGAACTTAGAGTGATTTGTTCTTTGTGTTGTGGAAGTAATCTGCAACAAATATTTCCTTTGCTTTCAGAACGCTTACAGTGGCATTGCCTAAGTTGAGAATATTTTTTTTTATTTGATGTAATAATTTCAGTACAATTATGGACACCTCAACATATTAGGTTGGCCAAAGAATTTGTTATCTTATTAAGTATAAAATTTATTTAATAAATTGAACAAACCTTTTGAGCAACCCAATACAGTATGGTTTTGTCTAAGGTTAGATGAGATTTTTTATGTAATGTAATAATTACAATAAAATTATTTAGTGATTACATTACAATTACAAAATTAGAGAAGAGATTAAAAAATAGTTTTGTTCAGAGTTAGATGGGATTTTTAATGTCAGCTAATAAAATTCCAGTAATAGTTGTGAATAGGCAAAGTAACCATAACTAGGTAGATATTAGAGAGTATACCTTTGTATATAAATAAAAAAAAAAAAGTTTTTACTATAGAAATATTTAAAATCAAAAAGAAAATGATTGAGTGATGTGGAATGAATGACAACATTACTAAGAATAAGGCATATGTATAACTAGCAGTAGAGCTCAGCGTTGCCTGGGGATGTAACAGTAAGAGATAGATCAAGTATTGATCATCATAAAGACTGAAAAATAAAATTGACAAAGATTATTGTTTAAGGTTGACAGCCACGGATGTCTTAATTAGTTTTTTTTTTTTTTTACAAATTGGTCAGACTCAAACAAAAACATTGTTTTCAATCATTATGAGTCTACCGATTGAATAGAATTTTATTATAAACAATTGTCTTGTAAATGAAATTTTTAAAGCATTCTGAATGTAAAAATAAAGAAACACTAGCTGCCAAAAAAAAAGTGAAGTTTTGTTGAAATCAGTTGAAAAATGTAGGGAATCTGATCCCATATATAAACGAACACACACCCACACAAACAACCTGGGTTTTATAATAAGTATAACTCGATATGAGTTGTCCCCCTTTCATTCTCGTGACAGCGATGCCTCTTAATCGTGTTTTCAAATTGATTTCATGCATAAACAATCTTGTTTTTCCAATTTTTGACGCTGTCAGAACCACCGTAAAGTAATTTTACATAGTCCTGTGAAGTTTTGTTGAAATCGGTTGAAAAATGTAGGAAATCCGATCCAATATATAAACGAACACACACACACACACACACACACACACACACCTGGGTTTTATAATAAGTATGATGTAAATCTATTACAAATGTTACAATAGGAAAGCTTTGAAAATCAAGCAAAAGTGAAATATCAGAAATTAAAGCATGTGTTACTGACAGAACAGGGCTATTATCTGCATATATTTTAATATTAAGTATCACTATAATTTTTATGAAACTTTTCTTTTCTTTTTTTTTTTTTAATAATGAAATATTTTACTTTCAGTTATAATTTTCTTCTTAGTATAAGTTATTATTTTTGTCTTCATTTATATACATTTGAAATTTTTATGATTTCACTCTTATTTCACTTTGACTATAGTTTTTCTGGGGAGCTGGATCGAACAAACAAGACCAATAAAGCAAACCTGAAACAAGTCAAGTAAGGAAACTTGTCTTTTTTTTCTTTTGACTTCATTCATTCATTATCATATTTATAGGCCAATGTGAAGTTTTAAATTACTGTTCACCATCATTGAGCCTGAACTTTCTGGTAGATGTTTGAACTTTGCCCTTTCATACTGTCACGCTGGACAGTGTGTTATAAATTATAGTTATATCTTTATAATTATTTTATTTTTTAAAAAATTCAAGTCTTTTTGGATTTTGCAAAATGAACTGTGCCTTTTGTATAAATATCTTTGTGGTAATTGTTCTAATATGCTTTCCTCTTTGGTATTTTGACTTTATGAATTTAAGTGCAGTACTAGATTGGCAGTTATGTCTCACCATTTTACAGTTGAAATTGCTATGTAACCATAACTTTTATTCCAGTAGTTTCTTCTCTCACTTCTCACTTGTGAACATTTTTTGGCTCTTGCTTTCCTGTCAGTTTATGGCCACATCATATTGAAACACCGGCTCCTGTATGATCACTAAGGCTAAGCAATGTTGAGCCTGGTCAATAGCTAGACGGGTTACCATTTGGAAATATCAGGTCTTGTAAATTTGGATTTGTGGGCAGTGTAATGGATAATGGCTCAGAATTGTTAATCAGAGAACCCAGTTCCAATTCCCATTGAGTTCATTATATTCACACAAGGCATGAATCTACCTCTTCTCCCACTAACTATGGATTAAATAGTAATATTTATATCACTAAAACCATTATTATCTAAAGCAAAAAAAAAACTCTTACAATCTAAAAATATATTCTTTTTTGAAATAACCTGCATAAAGTTAATAAGCTGTATAAAATGAATTGGTCATTTTCCTGTCAAATTACATGCAACATCAACTGTCATCTTCTGTTTCTGTGAGTTCTTACCTTTTCTGAGTTTCTTTCACTCTCTGTAATCCCTTGTGTCTGAGTGGCTTTGTTGCCTTGCTGGGGGGGGGGTTTAAACCATTTCACCATAAACAAGGCAATAATAGAAAAAATTAAAAATAATTAAATTCATGCAATATGCTCTTACATATATATTACAGATAATATGTTAAAATATGGGGCCATTGATATTGAACAAACTTTGAACTTTTTTAAAAGCTATCCTGTTTGTCTATATTTCTGAAATGACATATTTACACTATTTACATTGTTCAGACTGTTTGCTGCCTCGTCTTTATTGCCATGTTCAGCTGTTTTTTCCATTGTACACTCCCACCATCAGCAGGTGATATTTGTTGGAACTTTGAACCAAACCATTTATTTAGTCCCTGGGGGTAGATTGTTCTAATTCCACATGTCATGTCTTTGGATATCTGTTTCAATTAATTTTCCTTCATAACTCAACTTTTTTATACTCAATGTTTTTAATTAGGTACCTCCACACTTGCTTGCTGAAAAAGCAGCATAACATGATGTATAAAGGCCCCAAACTTAATAAAAACAAAGTTTTATCATCAAAATGTTTGTAATTATTAAGAGGAAAGATCAAAGTATTTTTTTTTTGTTATTTCATTAAGTTTTTTTAATCCTTTCTTGTTTTTTAAATTTTGGCTAAAATTTTTATTTTTTTGTCTCTTACATCAGCAGTTGATGTATTTATGATTAGTGTTTTAACGCTTTTTTTCAGGTGAACAACATTGATTTGGAAATTCTTGCAAAAATCAAATAATTGTTGGATTTTAATGAAACTTATTTACAAATGAATTAATTTTTATTTTTTTATTTTTATTTTTTTTTCAAAAGTTTCATAAAAATATTTTTTTTTTTTTTTCTACATATGTTACTCTTTAATTTCATGAAATTTTAATCTCAAAATTTGTTTTCTTAAAAGCAGGACTCCTTGGAGAATTTAAAACATCAGATTTTTTTTTCTTTTTGTAAAGCAGGACACCCAGTTATAGAAAATCTGCTCTGAATTATAAAATAAAAAATGCAATAAAACCGACATTATTTAATTAGAAAAGCTTTTAATTGCTTTTATAAATGAGATTTATTAAGGACACTATTATCTTAAGAAAAATAATTTTTTGATGAATAATGAATTTTTACAAGAATTGTTTTCATTTTTTTTTTTTTTTTTTAAATTTTAATTATAATAATTTATAATATTAGAAATTGTTTAAAATTCTGCATTACTTCAATCCAGTTAGGGGATACTGTTATTGAGTGAAAACTATATTTATGAATCAAAAATTGAAAAGCTAAATGAAAGTCATTTGCATTAAAGTCGACATTCCTAAAATTAGATTATGGAGAATATTTTCCAACATTTTTAAGATTACTGAGTACTTAAAAATTATATTGAAAAAGTGCTCACCTGTTATTTTCTTAAATTTATGTTTTAACAGATAAAGTCTCAGAATAACATTAGAGGTCTTGACAGATTTTATCATCACTTGTTAAGTTATCTACATGTGACAAATAAGTGTGTAATCACTGCTACTGTTTGTTTTAAAAATCCATTTCTCTGTTATCTTAAACATTTTTTTTTTTTTCAAATCAGATTAATTATACTTTAAATCAGCTAATATTCCTCAAAGTGTCAGAAAAGTATATTTTATTTTTGGAAGATTTTTAAAACCGAGAATTATCTTTTCTTTACAAATGTGTCAAAAAGGGCCAATATTTATTGATTTTCTGAAAGCAATCAAAAAGTTGAGATTCCAACCAATATAATTT